CCCTCCCCCCTACCCCCCCTCATCCCCAAAAGTTTCTCAGCGGACTTGGGCTGTACTCAGCAAGCGCAGTACAGCCCCCAACTCAGATTTGAAAGAAAAAAAATCAGTCGATGGCTGTTTTCTGAGGTCGGCAGACCGCTGACTGCCGACCAGTTGGCCCTTCTGGTCGGCTGCAAAACGGTCAGCGGTCGGCAGCTATGCAACCCTGATTGCACCCCAAAAAAACTCCAATTTCACAAATAGAATGATTGACTTCCTGCGCAAAGATGACACGCATAAATCGAGAAATGGTCCAAATTAAAAAAAAAAAAAAAAAAAGAAGAATAATCGACTTCCTTCGCTCTACAACTCTCACTTGGCTCAACTGTTTGAAACCATTTCTTTAAGTAGCCCACTACGTACACACACACACAAACAAAGAAAAAAAGAAAAAAAAGGATAACAGAAGAAAACTACCCCACTACCTTTCCCTTATTCCCGACACCTGTACTGTACTCTGGTGTTCAGGAGGGTGTAGTGCAGTATGGGATGGGATGAGGCTACATAGCAGAAGCACGTGAGAGATGTCGCACACAGTACTCCAGCAGGCAGGAGATGACGCTATGGCCAAAGCTCAGTACGCTATGGCAGAAGCTCAGGTCACTAAGGCAGCAGCTCAGCAGGCCATGGCAGAAGCCGAGCTGGCTATGGCAGAAGCTCAGCGGGCTATGGCAGAATCTCAGCAGACTAATCCAGCAGCTCAGCTGGCTAGGGCAGAAGCTCAGCTGGCTATGGCAGAAGCTCAGCAAGCCATTGTGCTATGGCAGAACCTCATCAGACTAAGGCAGATGCTTAGCAGGCAATGGCACAAGCTCAGCTGGCTATGGCAGAAGCTCAGCAGGCTAAGGCAGAGCTCAGCAAGTCATTGTGCTATTGGAAAACTCAGCAGACTAAGCATTGTGCTACGGAAAAACCTCAGCAGTGGCAGAAGCTCAGCAGGCTATGGCAGAAGCTGAGTGGGCTATGGCAGAAGCTCAGCAGGCTATGGCAGAAGCTCAGCTGGATATGGCAGAAGCTCAGCAAGCCATTGACATGTGTTATGGCAGAACCTCAGCAGACTAAGGCAGAAGCTCAGCAAGCTATGTCAGAAGCTCAGCTGGCTATGGCAGGGCCTCAGCAGACTAAGGCAGAAGCTCAGCTGGCTATGGCAGAAGCTCAGCTGGCTATGGTAGAAGCTCAGCTGGCTACGGAAGAAGCTCAGCAAGCCTTGTGCTATGGCAGAAGCTCAGCAGGCAGTTGTACTATGGCACAAGCTCAGCAGATGATGATGTGATGGCTGACATGTACACTCAAAAAACACTGTTGAAATATCCGTCAGAATCACAACATGCGCCCTCTGGAGC